TTTTTAAGTGAAGTTTCCCTCTTGTTGCTCAGGCTGGAGTGCAATGGTGCAATCTCAGCTCACTGCAACCTCCACTTCCAGGGTTCAAGTGATTGTCCTGTCTCAGGCTCCCAAGTAGCTGGGATTATGCCTGGTGCAAGCCTGGCTAATCTTTGTATTTTTAGTAGACATGGGGTTTCTCCATAATGGTAAGGCTGGTTTCCAACCCCCAATCTCAGGTGACTCGTCCACCTGCTTTTTAAAACAAGTGAATACTATTAGACTTCTTCATATATTATAAGTTTTATAGTAGAGACTCTAAACTTCCTTTGTTTAATAAGATTTGTCAGTCTTCGGTTATGTTGATGATGAGATGCCTCTTTTCCTGTCTCACTCACTTTACTGTTCTGTCAAAAATAGCTTACACTGGCCAGCCGCAGTTCGAGACCAGCCTGGCCAACATGGTGAAACCCCGTCTCTAGTAAAAATACAAAAATTAGCTGAGCGTGTTGGTATGAACCTGTAATCCCAGCTTCTTGTGAGACTGAGACAGGAGAATCACTTGAACCTGGGAGGTGGATGTTGCAGTGAACCGTGATCACACCACTGCACTCCAGCCTGGGTGACAGTTAGATTCCGTTCCCCGCCCCCCCCAAAAAAAGTTAGCCAGGCATGGTGGCATGTGTCTGTAGTCCCTGCTACTCAAGAGGCTGAGGCTCTTTAGGTAGGAGAATCGTGCCACTACCTGGGTGATGAAGCATTACTCGGTCTCAAAAATAGATAAAAAAAGAAATAGCTTAAACTGGAAATCTTAAGACATAGAAATGTATTTCTCATGAATCTGGAGAGTGGGAAATCCAAGAGCAAGATGTCAGTTAGATTGATTCCTGGTGAGAGCCTTCTTCATGGTTTAGCCCAGCCATCTTCCTGCTGTGTCCTGACATGGTGGAAAGAGGAACAGGCAATCAGCTCTTTACTGTCTCTTTTTATAAAAGCATTAGTCCTTGCCGGGCGTGGTGGCTCACGCCTGTATTCCCAGCATTTGGGAGGCTGAGATGGCCAAATCACATGAGGTCGGGTGTTTGAGACCAGCCTGACCAACATGGAGATACACCGTCTCTACTAAAAATACAAAATTAGCCGGGAGCGGTGGTGCCTGCATTTAATCCCAGCTACTCAGATGGCTGAGGTGGGAGAATCGCTTGAACTTGGGAGGCAGAGGTTGCAGTGATCCTAGATCACGCTATTGCACTTGAACCCTGGAAGTGGAGGTTGCGGTGAGCTGAGATTGCACCATTGCACTCCAGCCTGAGCAACAAGAGGGAAACTTGACTTAAAAAAAAAAAAAAGAAAAAGAGTGAAACTCTTTCAAAAATAAATGAAAGAAAACATACAATTAAAAGCCCTAGTCCTATTCACAATTAGTCAACATCCATGACCAAATTCTCTAAAAGGCCCCATCTCCTGGAACATCCTATCGGAGAATAAGAAACCTGATAATGGCTTTTAGCTAAGACGAACATTCGGGCCAGGGAGCATACATCATATTTTTTGTTTTTATTGTGCAATTTGTTTTATACAATGTTTTCTCTGATCTCAGTTTATAAATTTTCCCAGTACACAGTCTGTATATTTTATGCATAGTGAACTAGATAACCATGGGGAATTCATATATAGAAAATTGCTGTGTTGCCTGGCTATTACATAACTAGAGTTGTGACATCATAATTGCACTTTTCTACACTGTTAGTCAATTATTTATCTATTTGTTTGTTTGTTTGTTTGAGACGACGGAGTCTTGCCCTGTCACCCAGGCTGTAATGCAATGGCGAGATCTCAGCTCACTGCAACCTCCGCCTCGTGTGTCCAAATTATTCTTTTGCCTTATCCTCCAGAGTAGCTGAGATTACAGGCGCCCACCACCACACCCAGCTGTTTCTTTTTGTATTCTTAGTAGAGATGGGGTTTTCCCATGTTGGCCTAACTGTTCTCGATCTCCTGACCTCGTGATCCACCTGCCTCAGCCACCCAAAGTGCTGGGATTACAGGTGTGAGCCACCGTGCTCAGCCATTAGTCAATTCTTATTTCTTAAAATGCTGTGTATTTTCTTGACGTCATACCTCAGAAGGTAGTGATCTTATCATGTATTTCTTTTCCTATGTTGTGTGCTGATGCTTAAGTCGAAATTGTGGATTTTTTCTTAAGAGGGAATTGTTTAGAATTCTGCAGGCCGTATAAATGTACTCATTTGCTTGCTGGTTTTATCATGGGTTACAACATCTTATTTTTATAATTTTACATACGGCTTTACAGTATGTGGTATACAATATAACTGACACACTACACTCGTTAATGTCACAAAGTGTCACCGGGTGCAGTGGCTCACACCTGTAATCCCAGAACTTTGGGAGGCCGAGGTGAGTGGATTACTTGAGGTCAGGAGTTGGAGACCAGACTGGCCAAGATGGTGAAACCCCATCTCTACTAAAAACACAAAAATTACACAGACATAGTGGTGCGTGCCTGTAATCCCAGGTACTCAGGAGGCTGAGGCAGGAGAATCACTTCAACCCAGGTGGCGGAGGTTGCAGTGAGCTGAGATCATGCCATGGCACTCCAAGCTGGAGTGCAAGACTCCGTCTCAAAAAAATAAAACTACAAAAAATTTTTCAAAAGTCACTAAGTGCCTGTTCTGTGTGGATATAAGTAATTTTATGACATTTATTCAGAATACATTGTAACATTTTTTTCTTTTTTTTCCTTTTATTTTTGAGGCAGAGTCTCACTTTGTCACCCTGGCTGGAGTGCAGTAGTGCGATCTTGGCTCACTGCAACCTCTGCTTCTCATGTTCAAGCGATTCTTGTGCCTCAGCCTCCTGAGTAGCTGTGACTACAGGCACGGGCCACCACACCTGGCTAATTTTTGTAATCTTTTATTATATTCTCTGTGCTATAATTGTTTGACAATATGGAATTTACGTTGCTTTTGGTTATCCTTACATGAGGTTGTTGTGGATTATTTACCAATATTGTATATTGTGTGAGTTTTTGTTTTTTAGCATTTGTACACAGTAAATATGAAGAATATATATTTTTCTCTTCATTGATGTGACAGTGATATGTTTTTTGCAAATTGTGATACACTTTAGGGTCACAGTGGAAAAACACTCCTTACTTTCGGCTTACTCATGTTTGTGCCCTGTCAGTGTTTTGTCATGATATAGGAAATAGGTTTTCATGGAATTAATTTGAAGGATATGTAAATGCGCTTTGTTTATTAAAGAATCTTATTCCTTTTGTGTTTCTATACTTTGAAGATCATGTTTGGGAAGTTCAAAATAAGTATTCTTTTTGTCTCATATTTACACACTTCAGTATGATTTACCATCTGGACTTAATTGGAAACCTATTGGTGTTTATATTTTACAGATATCTCTTCCAAATGCATGATGAAGGAGTTCTCATCAACAGGGCAGTGCAATACAGAAGTGTTCCACACCGGGACATTGCAAAGACATGAAAGTCATCACATTAGAGATTTTTGCTTCCAGGACATTGAGAAACAAATTCAGGACATTGAGTTTCAGTGTCAAGAAGATGAAAGAAATGGCCATGAAGGACCCATGACAAAAATAAAAATGTTCACTGGTAGTACAGACCGACATGATCAAAAACATGCTGGAAACAAGCCTATTAAAGATCAGCTTGGGTCAAGCTTTCATTCACATCTGCCTGAACTGCACATATTTCAGATCAAAGGTAAAATGGGTAATCAACTTGAGAAGTCTACCGATGATGTTCCCTTGGTTTCAACATCCCAAAGAATTTCTTGTAGACCCCAAATCCGTATTTCTAATAACTGTGAGAATAATTCCCCAAATTCTTCATTACTCACAGAAGAACAGAAAGTACACATGACAAAAACATCTTTCCAGTGTAATGAGAGTGGCAAAGCCTTTAATTGTAGCTCACTCTTAAGGAAACACCAGACAATCCATTTAGGAGACAAAATATATAAACGTGATGTATGTGGCAAGGTGTTTAATCACAAGCAGAACCTTGCATGCCATCAAAAATGCCACACGGGTGAGAAACCTTACAAGTGTAATGAGTGTGGCAAGTCCTTCAGTCAGGTGTCATCCCTTACATGCCATCGTAGACTTCATACTGGAGTAAAACCTTACAAGTGTGATGAGTGTGGCAAGGTCTTTGGTCAAAATTCAGCCCTTGTAATTCATAAGGCAGTTCATACTGGAGAGAAACCTTACAAGTGTAATGAATGTGACAAGGCTTTTAATCAACAATCAAATTTTGCACGTCATCATAGAATTCATACTGGAGAGAAACCTTACAAATGTGAAGAATGTGACAAAGTTTTCAATCGCAAATCAACCCTTGAGACACATAGGAGAATTCACACTGGAGAGAAACCATACAAATGTAAGGTTTGTGACACAGCTTTCACGTGGAATTCACAGCTGGCTCGACATACCAGAATTCACACTGTAGAGAAAATTTACAAGTGTAATGAGTGTGGCAAGACTTTCAGTCACAAGTCCTCCCTTGTATGCCATCATAGACTTCATGGTGGAGAGAAATCTTACAAATGTGAGGTTTGTGACAAGGCTTTTGCATGGAATTCACACCTGGTAAGACATACTAGAATTCACAGTGGAGAAAAACCTTACAAGTGTCGTGAATGTGGCAAGACCTTTCGTCAAAATTCAGATCTTTTAGTTCATAAATCAATTCATACTGGAGAGCAACCTTACAAATATGAAGAATGTGAAAAAGTTTTCAGTCGAGCATCAAGCCTTGAGACACATAAGGTAGTTCATACTGGAGAGAAACCACACAAATGTAAGGTTTGTGACAAGGCTTTTGCATCTCATTCCTATCTGGCAAAACATACTAGAATTCATAGTGGAGAGAAACCTTACAAGTGTAATGAGTGCGGCAAGACCTTCCGTCTGAAGTCATACCTTGTATGCCATCGTAGAGTTCATAGTGGTGAAAAGCCTTACAAGTGCAATGAGTGCAGCAAGACCTTCAGTCAGAGGTCATACCTTCATTGCCATCGTAGACTTCATAGTGGTGAGAAACCTTACAAGTGTAATGAGTGTGGAAAGACCTTCAGTCACAAGCCATCCCTTGTATACCATCGTAGACTTCATACTGGAGAGAAATCTTACAAATGTACACTTTGTGACAAGGCTTTTGTGCGTAATTCATACCTAGCAAGACATACTAGAATTCACACTGCAGAGAAACCTTACAAGTGTAACAAATGTGGGAAGGCTTTTAATCAACAATCACAACTTTCACTTCATCATAGAATTCATACTGGAGAGAAACTTTACAAATGTGAAGCATGTGACAAACTTTTCAGTCGCAAATCACACCTTAAAAGACATAGGATAATTCATACTGGAGAGAAACCATACAAATATAAGGTTTGTGACAAGACTTTTGGGAGTGATTCACACCTGGCACAACATACTGGAATTCACACTGGAGAGAAACCTTACAAGTGTAGTGAGTGTGGCAAAGCCTTTAGTGAGAAGTCAACAATTATTCCCCATCAGGCAATTCATGGTGTAGGGAAACTGGACTAACGTAATGATTCTCACAAAATCTTCAGTAATGCTAAAACCATTGTAAATCATTGGAGAATCCATAATGAAGAGAGATTTTTTTTTTTTTTTTTTTTTTGAGA